GGGCACCAAAGACACTCCATATGGAATTTGTTTTCTTTTTGGTAAAACTGGTCTATTGGGCAAGAAACTGCCCTTGCCTCAACTGCTGACAGTAAGTACGCTGTCCAACCTGGACAAGCAGGACACAGGAAAAGTGACTGCTGAAAATTGCCAAGACAGGGTAGGACAGTCCTTCAAATTTTCCTGCTTCTGAAAAAAGCCTGTCAGATATTCTAGGCCTATAAGCCAAATTTGGATGCCCCAACATTGCAGAGAAACCTTGGGTGACTGTCCAGGCAGCCAGCTGTCTCTGTCATTTCTTGCTTTTGTTTTGTTTTGTTTTGTTTTTGTTTTTGTTTTGAGACAGAGTTTCTCTGTGTAGCTTTGGGGCCTGTCCTGAAACTCACTCTGTAGACCAGGCTGGCCTTGAACTCACAGAGATCTGCCTGCCTCTGCCTCCCAAGTGCTGTGATTAAAGGCGTGCGCCACCACCGCCTTGCTCCTCAGGTCTTTTGTTCTGCCCAGATTAGGACCCCCAAAGAGACCACTGGAGACCAAAGATGTCCAGACTGCAATAGCAAGGTTTACTTCTCGGCGCAATACAAGGTAGCAGGGAGCCCTCGTCCGCAACACCCGGCTAATCGAGGCACGGGGGAGAGTTCCTCTTTCTTGGGGAGGTTAGCTTTTGAAGGCAAAAACTACAAAATTCTTCAGAGAGGAGGGGGTTAGTACGGGTCCACCCTTGATTGGTCCAGTTTTCCTGAGCTTGGACTTTATCTTATTTTTTGCTCTGTCAGGAGTTTTACAGCCCATCTCCAAAATTTGGTCATGTTATCTTGTGGGAGGGGGGCATCTCGTGGTTAGTTACCAGCAGACAGTCTGATTTTGTACTTTTAAAACTTCTGACTTCACCCTGTTTGGGAATGGGGAACTGACTCAGTTCTGGCTATTTTAAGATGTCCCTTTCCTCAGTTCTTCGAGCCTTAGGGGGAACTGGGGTGGGGTCTCTCACTTTGATGGAGTTAAAGACTAAATAATTATAGTTATAATTTCCTTAATTATGATAAAGTATAAATTATATATAAAACTTTAGACTCAGGCTGGAGAGATGGCTCAGAGGCTAAGAACACTGGCTGTTCTTCCAGAGGTCCTGAGTTCAATTCCCAGCACCCACATGGTGTCTCACAACCATCTGTAATGAAATCTGGCTCCCTCTTCTGGCCTGCAGGGACACATGCAAACAGAACACTGTATACGTAATAAATAAATGAATTTAAAAAACAAAAAAAAAAAAAAAAAAAAAAAAAACTTTAGACTCACCAAGATAGGATAAATAATTGAATGTTTTCTATGATTTTGTCAAATACAAATAGACTAAATATTGTAACTAATTCTTGCTTGGTAACTGTTTTGTTATATGTAATTTTACTATGTTAAAGTTAAAACCTTCTGTTGCTGTGTGAGTCGCTACACAGGTGTGTGGGTTCACGCAGGTCTGTGGAATGAAGACACAGAGGCATCTTAAGAATCAATCTAGCCTTTCATGGCAGCAGGGGGGTCCAGCCTCGAAGGACTGAACCCCTTTTCCCTTCACCTAGAGCATATTTATTTACTCTTTTTTACAGTTTAGATAGTTAATTTCTGTACCTTCAAAGAAACCTAAAAGGACCTCCCAGAGACCAAATGCCAGGTGCAAATTACTTGATTTCTCAGGTACCTCGGTTTTCCCGGTTTCCTGGACCAAGTTTTGCATAGGCCTTTGATCCTTGGGGTACTCTCTGATCCTTGACTCTCAAATAAGATTCACATAGGGCGATAAGAGAAAGAAAAGGTGTGGTTAAACAAAGGAAGGATTAGGGCCAGGTGCACCTCTCTGGAGCCAGGCTAGGAGCTCAGCAGGAATGCCGCCAAGACCTTCCTTTTTGATTAGACAGAAAGGGGGAAATGATGTGGGAGGATCTCTCTGTGCGCTGTGAGCATGTGTTGCTCTCATTGGTTGATAATAAAAGCTGATTTGGCCTATAGCCAGGCAGAATAAGGCTGGGCGGGAAAGCCAAACAGAGATACAGGGAGAAGAAGGGCAGAGTCAGGAGAGACACCAGTCAGCCGCTGAGCAAGCAGGACATGTAAAAATGAGGTAACAAGCCATGATCCTCGTGGCAAAGCATAGCTAGAAATGTGGGTTAATTTAAGTGTAAGAGTTAGGTAGTAACAAGCCTGAGCTAATGGCCGAGCACTTGTAATTTAAATTAAGCCTCTGAGTGATTATTTGGAAGTGGCTGCAGGATGGGGTGGGACAGAGAAACTCTGTTTACAGCAGGACACCTGAGATCAGCAACAGCAACCCTGTGGGCCTGTAGCTCAGTGGGTAGAGTGAGGTACCGAGTAAACTGGGTGTGGCAGCACACTTGGGAGATGGAGGCAGGAGGGTCAGGAGCACAATGTCATTCTTGACTATTGTGGGCCAGCCTGTGCTATGTGAGAGCCTCCTTAAAAAAGCAGGCTGGGGGGAATGGAGAGATGGCCCAGCAATTAAGATCACCGGCTGCTCTTCCAGAGGACCCAAGTTTAATTCCCAGCACCCACATGGCAGCTCACACCTGTCTGTAATTCCTGTTCCAGGGCATCTGATACCTTCACACCAATGCACATAAAAGTAAAGTTAAATAAATATTTTTTAAAAGGTCATGTTATTTTTTTTTTAAGTAGATCAGGTGTAGTGGTGCACACCTTTACATTCCAGTACTTTCGAGCAGAAGCAGGTGGGTTTGTGAGTTCAGGCTAACCAGGTCTACACAGTTCAGGACAGCCAGGGCTTTGTAGAAAGAACCTATTTCAAAAAAATACAGGTAAATAAATAAGTAAGTTAAAAAGTAAATAAATAAGCTTAAAAAATAAAGGAAAAGGCCCAAATGGAAAGCTGTCCCTGCGTAGACCCCACAAAGGACACGTGCTCACAGGAGGGACTGTGCCAGCCCGATCCAACTCATCAGGGAAGTCACAGGTGTCCGCAAGACTTCCAGGAGATTTGGGGGCACAAATACATTTTTCCTTCAGTACTCATGGCCTCAGCTAAACACGGATGGCAGATACTGCATGAAAATGGGTGCTGTGCTGCCCCACTTAGGCTGAGGCAGGAGGATCAACCTGAGTTCCAGCAGATGTTTGAAGGATTACCTCCCTTAGCTAGAACACCAATGATAAATTATTCTGGCAAGGTGAGCTCATTGGGCTTATGGAGCATGGCTGTGAGGTTACAGGGGTGTGGAGGGACCCCCATAGCTGCATAGATAGAGTCCCCTTGTAGGGTATCCACCAGAGAAGACTACTCAGACATGGGTTCAAGCCAATAGAAACTCTTTATTAGCGGGCCAGTGACTGCCCTGGGTGTTCGGGATCCCAGTGTAGCCCTGAGCCTTTCTCAGGGTGAGCTTTAAAGCACAAAACCAAGTCCTGGGTTGTGGTGGTATTGTGTTCCCCAAAATATTGTGTACCTTAATAAACTTATCTGGGGTCAGAGAACAGAAAAGCCACAAGATACTTAGGCTACAAAATGTTAGCACATGCCTTTAATCCTAGCATTGCAGAGACAGAAATCCGTCTGGATCTCTGTGAGTTCAAGGCCACATTGGAAACAGCCAGGCATGTTTAATCCCAGAAAGCAGCCTTTAATCCCAGGCAGTGGTGGTAGAAAGGCGTGAGGACCAGAAACTAGAAGCATTTGGCTGGTTAAGCGTTCAGGATTTCGAGCAGCAGTTCAGCTGAGAGCCATTGGGATGAGGACACAGAAGCTTCCAGTCTGAGGAAACAGGACAAACTGAGGATCTAGCAAGGTGAGATAATGTGGCTTGTTCTGTGGCTCTGACCATCCAGCATTTCACCCCAATAACTGGCTTCAGGTTTGATTTGATTAATAAGAACTTTTAAGATTCATGCTACACTGGGTTGACATACTTCAGTTAGCAAGAACAGAAGAGGAACTACAGAAGCCGAAAAGCAAGGTTAGTCATTTAGAGAATTTCCCGGAACTACAGGCTTTGATGGATGAGGTTTACTTATTTTTTCATTTTTAGCAGGTGGTGCTGTCTTCGTGCTGAGGTTCGTGGCCTGAACGGCACTTGATCATGGAAGTCAGCTGTGCTGTGGTCTGGGGCCTGTTGTGTCCTTCAGTTAACTTTCCAACTGTGCAGGGCTAGCGCCTCCTGAGACCCCTGCCATGCGGGATTAGGACAGAAGCACAGAGGGAGAGGGAGGCTCCCAGGAGCTGTCCAGAGCCCCTCCCCACCCTGTTCTAGGAGGGACTGCCACTACCCAGCAGGCCCGATCCTGGGGTCTCCTGAGCACCCACAGCGGCTCTGATGGAGATGGCTGCTGCCCTGGGGGACAGAGCTGGATAGCGGTTAGAGAGGTCAGAGCCGGCACAGGCTGGATCAGGAGGATCTCGGAGGGGCCTGGCTAAGCCTTGAAGTCTGTCAAGGAGGAGATTCGGAGGGGTGCCACTAAGCCTGGACACAGGGATCTGGGGACCATCCTGACCCCACCTGCTGCTGCAGGGCTGCCAGGTGCCACCCAGGCTGCCGTGGCGCCAGCCACCAAACCGGATCTCACTCGGAAGCAAAAGCCATTTGTTCTCTCTGGTCACCTTCCCAGCTGCCCTGAAACCACCCGGGATCACTTTTCAGAGCACCCGCGGGTAACCAGAGGCCTCCAGTGACCTGTGAGTGGCCTTGAGTCAGAAGGAAACAGTGTGCCCTGAATCACACACCCTGGCATTTGCCAAGCATCCAACCGGGCGACTGGGGAAGGTCTCTGGGCCGGTGCTGGGGTCCCACCGGGCCTGCCTGGGACTCACAGCTCTGTGTGGCTACAGCCAGGGGTCTCCTGCACCCCTCCAGGCCAGAAGCCCCACTGTGCTTTTACCGGTGACCCTGAGTGATGGTTTAACCTCTCCGTGTCTCGTTCCCCATCTCAGCAATAAGATGTCCTGTTCCCCACCTCCTGTGGCCAGAGGAGCTACATCGCTTTTTGTTTTTGTTTATTTTTTTGTTTTTGGGGTTTGTTGTCGTTGTTTGTTTTTCTGTTTGTTTGAGTCTCATGTAGCCCAGGCTAGTTTCAAACTTATTATGTACTCAAGTAGGACCTTGTCCTGGTCACTTCTGCCTCATCCTTTCGTGGGCTGGGAGGATAGCCCCACTGCCCAGTCTGGTTTTGAACATTTAACAATCCTCCTGCTCCAGCCTCCGCAGAGCTGGGATAACAAATCTGCACTACCTTGCTTGGCCAGCATGGACTATTTTGTTCCTCTGTTCAGTCAGGGTCTCACTATGTTGCCAAAGTTGGGCTAGAACTTGCCCCAGTCCTCCTGCCTCGCCCGGCCACCCAGCTGGACTCTCCCTCATAGAAAGTCGCCAAGGGTGACTCAGCCATGTGTGGTGGCGCACAGGCACCCAGAGGCAGAGGATCAGAACCTCAGTTATCTTCACTACATAACCAGCTCCAGTCCAGCCTGAGCTACGTAAGACCTTGTCCAAAAGCAAAACAACAAAAAATAGAGAACTGAAAGACTGAAGCAAACAGAAATTAAAATCTTTAAAAGCCAAGTTCCAGCCATGGCTGATGGAGGAGGGAGCCACGTCCTGCCACACCTGGATCAGGTGTCTCCCACCCGCCTGCTTGGCTCCCGCCTGGCCTGGCCTGGCCAGTCCCAAGATGACTGAGCCAAGCAATCTGGGCCCCCAGCTCTGCTCCCAGGAGGGTGTCCAGAGGGAGGGCGGGTCTCAGCTTTGTCCTTCAGCAGCTCTCAGAGACTCCCGTCAAAGCCTCGGAGAATTCCAGGGCTCAAGAAGAGAAGAAGGGACCAGAGGAGGGAGAAGCCGGTGAGGGCCTAGGGTGCAGCATCTCAAAAGGTCCTGAGGCACGGGAGGGGGAGGCAGCGGCGGGCGGCAGGAGTCCAAGGCCGTTGTTGGCTACACAGAGCATTCCAGGACAGTCTGGGCTACATGAGACCCTGTCTTAAAAAACAAAAGCAACCAAGCAGAGCAAGCCACCCTCTGAGTTCATTCCTGGGGCTGTGCAGTCTGGAGAGGGGTGGAGACCTCTGTGGACCGTGGGCTTCATTCGGTCCGTCACCTGCTTCCACACACGTGCTAGCATTGTCAACCCGAGCAGACCCAGAACCACCCTGGAGCCCAGCCTCCGGGCAGGCGAGGGTGGCAGTCTCCAGGCTGGTTAACTGAGGCAGGATGGCCCTCCTAAATGTGGGCAGCAGCCCATGGACTGAACGACCCTGAGGCAGCGGTCATCTCTCTCTGCTTCTTGACTGGGGCTTGTCAGGGTGTTTTATCACGGCAACCGCAGAGTGACTAAGACACAGAGTTGGAACCAGGAGTGGGGGTTAAACCTGGAGCTCTGGCCGGAACAAGCCCTTTTCTCCCCTAAGTGGCTTCTGTCAAATACTTTGTTACAGCAACAATACAACCAAGACACATGGCTACGATGTAGTGAGGGCCTCCTGTGTGCAGCTTCCTGCGTCTCCCCTCCTGTCTCCATGTCACAGATAAAGAAACTGAGGCACAGCGACGAAACCCACTCAGCCTAGGGCCCACAGGGAGACTCCAGCCATCCCTGAACGCTCGTGGCCTCGGGCTGCTCTGAGCCCCACACATGCGAATTTCAAATGTCCACAGCTCCCAGGGAGTGTCGGGGAGTGGAGGTCTAGGACTGGAGCCTTCTTCCAGGAACATGGGAGCGGGGTCACAGGACCTGGGTGCAAGTCCAGGCTCTGATGCTCAGAAATGGGAACCCTGGTGAGTCACAGCCCCTACTGAGGCCTCCATTTCCTCATCTGTAGAATGGATAGAGAACCAGTGAGAGTCAGAACCGAAGCCCAGTCCTCCGCTCCCATCTATAAAAGAACCTCATTTGTTCACATTACACAGACCTCCCTGTATAAAGGTATGGTTGTGTGTCGATGTCCCAGTGAGATGCAGACAAAAGGTCCCGAGGTCTCAAAGGCCTTTAGAAGACCTACCCATCCCTGGCCTTTGTTATCCCTCTTAGCAAGTAAGAGGTAAAGGTTGGAGCACTGGCAGCTGTTTTGGGTCATGAGGCAACTTTGACATAAGTCAAGGATTCCATAAACAAGGAGGGAAGAAGGCCAATGACTACAGTAGCTGAGCTGGACCTGTCTCTGTGGTGTCACCGTTTTATCATCTTGCCCCTGACTCCCAGCTCACACCAGCGTGGCGTCCTTCCCCATGTCCAGTGACCTGTGGCCCAGCATGCTACGCATCTCGTGAGTGACCCCATCCCAGTGGCCTGTGCCTGCCAATCGTGTCTGGGGCCGGGGAGAAGCAGGCAGACCATGTTCACTGGCTTTCCCCAGGACTGTGGATGTGATACCAGTGGCCATGGGCCCAGGGGGATCCCCAGGTTCCCGGGATGGGGCATAGAGGGTCTGGCAATGGGTACCCTGCTGGGGCTGAGCCCTGCAGCCAACTTTGGAGTCTTCTGAAGGTCGGGCTGGCTCATCTTCCAAGGAGGGTGGGGACAGCTCGTGGAGACCCCGGCGAGTGGCCCGAACAGCCCGGAGCAGGGTGTGAGTCATTACCGCCACCAGGACCAGGGCACCTGAGCCCAGGATAGATGCGGCCGCTGCACCCGCCTCGATCTCGAAGAGCAGCAGGGTGTAAATGGCCAGTGCTGAGGAAGGAATGGGTCACTTACTCACTCAACAAACATTTGCTCTCCAAGCCCTTGGGGGAGATCCCTCAAACACAGAGTAACAGCAACAAACCCTGCACCGGAACAGGTAGGCGGTCTATCGAAGCCTCGTCGCCATCACTGCCATCTCCAGATAAGGAAACTGGCAGGTGTGGTGGCGCACGCCTTTAATCCCAGCACTCAGAGGCAGAGGCCGGAGGATCTCTGTGAGTTTGAGGCCAGCCTGGTCTACAGAGCGAGTTCCAGGACAGCCAGGACTATATGGTGAGACCCCATCCCCCAAACAAACAATCTAACAACAAAAGTGACTAGACACACGGCCCTGTGGTTGAGAGGACCTGGGTTTGGTTCCCGAGCTCCGGGGACTCCAGTTCTGTGCTCAGGTCTCAAGCAAGGTGCACAGACAGACAAGCAGACAGAACGCCCATAAACACTGGGGTGGAGGACACCCCGAAGACTCACAGCCCAGAAGAATGCAGATGGGATTTTACTATTTACTTTTTTCCATTTTTACTGTATCTGTTCACTGTGTGTGTGCGCGCGCGACACGCCACAGTGTGTGTGCACGTGGAGGTCAGGGGACGCCTTGGGGGCAGATTCTCTGGAGTGTGGGTCCTGGGAACTGTGCTAGCAGTCATCAGTGAGCAGCCCTAAAAACGGGGCTCCTTATTTAAAGATTTATTTTTACCCCACCCCTTCTGTGTTGGTGCCCATGGAGGCCAGGGCAGGCTGTCAAATCTCCTGGACTTCAGGGAGGTTGTGAGCAGCCTGACGTGAGTGCTGGGGACCAAACTCCTGTCCTCTTAACCGCGGAGCCACCTCTCCAGCCCCTTCCGGCGGAGGCACCTCAGTGGGACAGCACTTGTCTAGTGGGCCCGGGATCCCAGGTTCCAGCTACAACGTGGTAAAAGCAAAACCAAGTCCTTCCAGAGCCTGAACTGTAGCTCAGTGGGTAGAGAGCTTGCCTGGCATTTGTGAGGTCCAGGGTTCAGTACCGAATGAACCGGGTGTGGCTTTGCCTGTCATCCCACACCATGGAGGCAGGAGGATCAGAAACCCAGGGTCATCCTTGGCTACATAGAGAATTTGAAACCAGCCTGGGCCATGTGAGACTCTGTCTAAAACACAAATAAGAAAAAGCAAAAGTCAAAACAGAAAGGGTCGGGGCAGGGAGATGGCCCGGAGGTTAAGAGCACTGGCTGCTCTTGCAGAGGACCTGGGATTGGTTCCCAGAACCCTCTAGTTCAGAACCACCTAAAGCTGCAGCTCAGGGCTCTATGGCCTCTGACCTCTGTGGGCACTGCACACACAGGCACCACATACACCTGTCCTCCCAAGGCTTAGGAGGTGAAAGCAAGATCAGAAGTTCAAGGCCAGCCTTGGCTACAGAGCAACTTCCAGGACAATCTGGCCCACATGATAAATAGTAATAATCAATAAATAATGAGTATTAATGGAGAATCCTCTGTCCATTCTAAGCATCAGGGACACTCCTCACTCTTGATTGATGGGGAAACTGAGGCACAGAACACATCCAAGAAGAAGTGTTGGAGCAGCTGCCTGATCTCAGGCTGCCTGGCCCCAGAGACCTGTGTGCACCCCGCCCCCGGTCCTCTGCCCCCACACACCTGCTAAGTAGACGGAGACCCCACAGCAGAACAGGCCAAGCGCCGAGTGCCTGAGGAGGCGGCAGTCAAACAGAAACCAGTCCGACCTGAAGGAGGACGACAGGAAGAGGGACAGTGACACCAGGCCAGTCGAGAGACCCGCCCCTCCCCCACCGACCTACCTGACCGTCCGCTCACCCACCCACCACCACCGCGTGCACCCAGCCACCCGTGTATCCACGCACCCACCCATTGTTTGAATCTGCGCGGTTCCACCAGCGTCAGGTGCTGTGGGAGACTCAAAGCGGGACGCGGGTGGGACAAGGAGCACCTCACCGCATCCCCAGTGCTCCAGGTGGAACCATCTACACCCGCACCCCTGAGCTCAGGGTCCTGAGGGACCCCTGGCCGGGCTGCGGCTAGCTGCTGATTCACACCCGACAGTCCTGTCCTTCCTGAACCCTGCCGGGGCGGGAGGGGGGGGCTGGGGTGCAGCTCCGATGATTGGCATGTGACCCCGGGATGCACCCCAAGCACCAGCGAGGGAAGGTGGGGGGTGGGCGGGCACCGGCGCGCTCTCGGAGCCTCAGTTTCCCCCTCTGCAGGTAGAGGCGCTGGCGTCCTACCTGCCCGGCCCCGGCCCGCGTGCCAGCTCGGCGCCCAGGTGTCCGCAGAGCGCGGCGAGCAGCAGGCAGCTAAGCCCGAGGACCTGCGCCAGCGCGGCCAGCGCAGTCGCCAGCGGCAGCAATGCCCCAGCCGCAGCTTCGGGTAGCCCCGCGTCGGGGTCCAGCTCAGGGTGCAGCACGTCGGTGCGCACACCCCGCAGCTCCGCGCGCCCCGCCTGGAGCTGGAACAGCAGCTGCGCAGCCAGCGCGACCAGCACGGCGGCTGGGATGCCCAGCAGGGTCATCGCGGCCAGCACCCGGCCTCCGTACGAGCGGCCCATGGTGCGGGCCTGGGTTGAGGAGAAGGCGCGGGGAGGGGAGGCGGCTGGGGTGGGATGGGGCGCCACGGGCCTCTGGACAGGGGCCCCGAGTGCTGCGCGAAAACTTGGGAGAAAGTGTTTTCTGCTTTGTTCCGGCCGCGGGCGCCGCCCCCGGGTGTGCGGAGGAGGACGGGGAGGGAAGGGGGGGACAGGAGGGGCGCGGCGGGGAGAGCCAGAGCCTGCGGCAGAGGGGCGGGGCCTGATGCAGAGGGGCGGGGCGCGGCTAAGGCGGGGCCAGGGGCGTGGCTTAAGAGGATGGGGCTCAGGGACGCCCCAACAGCAGCGTCCGAAGGGACGGGTCTTCCACGTGTGCGGTCCGGAGTGGGGCGGGGCCTGGCTCCTGCGGGCAATGCTGGGTGGGGCCCCCGGGAAAGGGACCAGAAAAGGGGGTCTTGCGAGGCGCAGCTAGGAGGGCTCCGGATGCGGGGGCGAAGAGGTGACCAGGTGGGCGGGGGACACAGGTGGGGTGGTGCCTGGAAACGCACGTGTTTGGGAGAGGGAGCGCAGGGGCGGGGTCAGGGCGGGGCCACCCGGATTGCCCCACCCTAATGGGCGGGCTTGAGGGGGTGGGAAAATGGGGAGGGCCCAGACCGCAAGGGTAGGCCTGGTCTTCGTAGCTAGTTCTAGGACAGTCAGAGCTACATAGAGAGACTCTGTCCCCAAAAAAGAAAGCCTGTGGAAGGGGAGATGAAGAGACAGCAGGAGATGGAGCTGACCGGGCTGGCCTCTGAGTCCCGATCCGACACAGGCAGAGGCACAGAGCCCGAGGATGGAGATAGGGGGACCCACAGGTGCCCGGGGTTGGAAGCTGGACCTCTGCAGATGCAGACAGGTGCCTCCCCGTCGTCCTGAGCGCCGGGCTTCTGGCACTTGGTTTACTAAAAAAAATAATTAAGATTTATTTATTTTATGTGTATGAATGTCTTGCCTACATGTATGTCTGTGTATGTTGTGCGTGCCAGGTAGCTGCGGAGGTCAAAAGAGGGCGTCGTTTGCAGATGATTGTGAACCACCATATGGATGCTGGGAACTGAACCTCCATCTCCAAGAGCAGCCAGTGCTTTTACCCACTGAGCCGTCTTCCTATATTAAATGCGTATATGTTTGGATAAATTGGGCACACTGACAAAGGCCTGTCTTCATTGCAATTCAGAGGCGTAGGCAGGGGACTGTACGCACTCAGAAGACAGTCTGACCTAGAGGACACTATCTTTAAAAGTAAACAGAGGGACTGGAGAGCAGCTGGCTCAGTGATTAACCGTGGCTCAGTTCTGTTTCCAGCATGCAGGTCAGGCAGTCAGGGGATCCCACACCTTCTTCTGGCCTCTGGTCTCACACTCAGATGCACACATTCCGCCCCAAACATATAATAAAAATTAGAGCAGGTGGTGATAGCGTGCACCTTTAATCCCAGCACTCGTGAGGCAGAGGCAGGTGGATCTCAGAGTTTGAGACCAGCCTGGTCTGAGAGCAAGTTCCAAGTCGGCCAGGGCTGTTACACATAGAAACCCTGTCTCAAAATAGATAAATAAATAAATAAATCTTAATAAAATGCAGAGTGCTTGGCTGTAGCTGTGTGGTAGATATGTGTATGTCAGGCTCCGGCTCCAGTGTGTGAGTGTGCCGTGTGAGCCTGTGGGGGTCTGTGTGTGGTGCAGGTGGGCGGGGAGTGCAGCAGCTGTCTGGTGGACTGTCCACCATGCCAGATGTTTCCGTGGGTGCTGAGGACTTGGACTCATGTCCTCCTGTTTGCATAGCAGGACTCTTACCTACCAAGTCCTCTCCTCAGCTCCCTTCCACGGTTTGGTTTGTTTTTATTTATTCTGTTTTTCGAAACAAGGTTTCTCTGTGTAGCCCTGCCTGTCCTGGAAAGAGCTGTAGACCAGGCTGGCCTCGAACTTAGAGATCCGCCTGCCTCTGCCTCCTGAGTGCTGGGATTAAAGGTGTGGGCCACCACCGCTACTCAATTGGCTACTTTTAATGAATTGAGATGAAACTCTCATACAGGTAGCAATGTTTTTATTCAGTGATTTATAGCACATTTACAATGCAACCCACCTCTGCCTAGTTCGGGAACATTCCATCTCTGGGGCAAGAATCTGACAAGACTGATGAGAGCCCTTCCCATCAATCAGTCCCCACTCTCCTCAGTGAGCAGGCAGCCCCTGCCTGCTCAGCCCCCCTCGTGGTTTTCCCTGTTTGGGACATCTCCTGCCAGAAGAAGCCTTTTGGGTCTGGCTGTGGTCACTCCATACCAGTGTTGTAACCTGTTCCGGTGCCTTATTCCTGTTTGTGGCTGAGCAATACTCCACTCTGGACACCCCACATGAGTTGTTCTGTTGATGGACATTTGGGGTGCCTCTAACTTTTGGCAAGTGTCAATCACAATGTTCCGAACAGGCATTTGCAAGTATGGGGGCCCCTGCCTCCAGTAGTGAGTTCTAGGAGTTGAATTGCTGATTCGTATGCTAACTCCATTTTACTCTTCCTGTAACTACAAAACAGGTTCCCATGGCAACTGTACAATTTTCATATTCCCATAAAGGGTAAATGAAGGTTTCTAATTTTCTTTCTTTTTTAAGATTTATTTATTTATTATGTATATAGTGTATGTATGCCTGCATGCCAGAAGAGGGCACCAGATCTCTCTATAGATGGTTGTGAACCACCATGTGGGTGCTGGGAATTGAACTCAGGACTCAGGAAGAGCAAGCAGCCAGTGATCTTAACCTCTGAGCCATCTCTCCAGCCCCTAATTTTCTTTTTTAATTAGTATTTTAGCATTCCAGCCAGGTGGTGACAGTGCATGCCTTTAATCCTAGCACTAGAATTCGAGGCTAGCCTGGTGAGTTCCAGGACAGCCAGGGCTACACAGAGAAACCCTGTCTTGAAAAACAAAATCATAATCATAGTAATTTAAGGACAACTTGTAAGAGTAGGCTCTTTCCTTGCCCCACGTGGGTACCCACGATCGAATTCGGGCAGTCAGGCTTGGTGGCCAGCAGGCATCCTTATTCAGTCTTGAGCCTCAGTTTCCCCCACTATTCCAAGTTGGGGACAGAGGCGGATGAACTGCTTGCGGGGTCACGACTCCTCCTTCTTCCTTTATCTTGTCAGATTCTTGCCCCAGAAAGCCAGGCTCGTCAGCCCCGTGGACGCGCTGGACGTCTCATTTGCACGCACCATCCCCCTCGGGCCGCCAGAGGGCGCGGTAGGCAAAGCTAAACCCTCGGCTTGCAGGTCCCATGCGCTTCTACAGAGGCAGGTGCCTGTCCCGAGGAGCGGCGCTAGACCCGGCTTGGTATCACGTAGCCCAGGCCGACCTAGAGCCCTCTACATAACCAAAAAACGGCCTTGAGCTCCGGATCCTTCTTCTGCACGCCTCTGTTTTCTTTTTTATGTGTTGTTGTTTTGCACAAGACTTAACATAGTATTTTTGTTCTGTAAGTGTGTGGGCATGCACGTGCCACCACGAGCGTGTGGAGGTCAGCAACTTGCGGGAGACCGTCCTCCCTTCCACCATGTGGGTTCTGGGGACTGGACTCGGGTTGTCAGTCTTCACAGCAAGTGCCATTCCGCACCGGCCCTGCACCTGCGTCCAGAGCGCTGAACGACAGGCCTGCACCACAAAGCCCGGCTGCAGGAGTGGGTTTTGTTTGTTTTGAACAAGGTATTTGAGGCTGGGGTTCTATGGTTAGAAAGCTTGCTTAGCATGCACTAAGTCCCGGGTACCGTGCCCGGGACCTGTTCGTGGGGATCCCTACGTTCTTTCGAGGACTAGGGGTGACCTGGAAGAGGAAACTTGTCTGTCTTTGGCTGCCGTTCCAGCTGCTCCTTAGGCTGAGGCAGAAGAATGGTGAGTTCAAGGCCGGCCTGCACCGCTGTCTAGGGAACGTCCTGAGCATGCGGGAGGAGAAGGCTAATCGGAGCCCCGCCCCTGCAGCCGGGGTCTTCCGGGGGTTACCATAGCCCCGCCTCTAGCGCGCCCCTACACCCAGGTACCCATGGGGGTCACCAGAGCCCCGCCCCTGCAGCCGGGTCCCCCTGGGGGCCACCAGAGCTCTGCCCTTGCACCTGCATCCCCTGGGGGTCACCAGAGTCGTGGCGGCTCCGGCCCCGGCCCCGGCCCGCATCCCGGTCCACGCGGTACTTGCGGCGGCGCAGAGGCTCGGTGATGCTGCGCCTTGCGGGCTCATCCAGGTCCTCGGGCTGCAGGAAGCTGCGGTCCAGCAGCTCCGCCGCCTCCTGCCAGTTGGTGAAGCAGGCGGGTCCCAGGCGCTGGATCTCGTCCGTCGCGTCGCTCGTCAGCACGTCCCCACCCGGCTTGAGCACCACGACGGCCGGCAGACGACGCACGGAGAACTGGCGCCCGAGGTCCCTGCGGGGAGCGCGCGTCAGCCCGCCCTTGAGACCCCGCAGCTCCCGATGCGCTGCGCGCGCTGCCCCCGAGGGCCGCCCCGGGACCCGCTGGCTCCCCAGGGCTTCTGCACCGGCTCCTCACACCTTCCCTCTCCCTGCCCCATCCTCCCTTCCAATGTCCCCCTGCTGTATGTATGTGTATCGTTGGTCTGCTGTCGCTGGGAAGAGGGAGGCCCCGGGGGCAGGGATTTCAAACAGCTGAGGAATGTTCCGGAAATGTGTGTTGAATGAATGAATGCATACTGTGAAAGGCTATCAGATAACGTCAAGCTGGGCCTCTGCGTGGGAGTGACATTTGAACTGAGATCTTACGGGTGGAGGGAGGGACGGAAGACTGGGGAAAGTGTTTGTTCCGGACAATGACAGAGTATGTGCAAAGGCCCTGGGGTGAGACCCTGACAGGTACAGCTGGCATCTCACAGAGACTCTGAATGGTCAGGGGCAAGGATGTCAGTTCTGAAGCCACCAAGAAGCTGTGAGAATCTCCAGGAGACCCTGCACCCCACTCCCAGCAAGGCCAGAATCCACCCCTCTGTGAGCTCCACATTCACGGAGTGAGTAAGGCCAGCATGAATTCTCATTATGAAACTATGCCTTGAACTCTCCATGCAGACTGAGATCTCACAGAAATCAGCCTGTTGGGATTAAAGGCAAATGCCACCACACACATCTCAGCTGAGGTTTTTTGTTTGTTTGTTTTGGTTTTGGTTTATTGAACAGTTTCTCTGTGTAGCCTTGGCTGTCCTAGAAATTGCTCTGTAGCCCAGGCTGGCCTCCAACTCAGAGATCCACCTGCCTCTGCCTCCAGAGTGCTGGGATTAAAGGTGTGGGCCGGCGCCACTGCCGCCGCCACCACCACCCAGCTTTCAGCTGAGGTTCTCAATCCATGATTATTGGTTAGTTTTTGTTGTTGGTTTTTTGTTTTGTTTTTGAGGCCCAAGCTGGTCTCATGTTTATATAGACAAGGGTGACTTGCTGAGCAGTTACAGCAAACTCCTTTAATCTCAGCCAGCGGGAGGCAGAGGCAGGTGGATCTCTGTGAGTTCAAGGCCAGCCAGGTCTATAGAATGAGTTCCAGGACAGCCAGGACTACACAGAGAAATCCTGTCTCAAAACAAAAACAAACAGACAAAAAAATGACTTTGCATTCCTGATCCTCCTGCCTGTTGGGATGATGGTTTATGTGGGTGGCTGGGTTCAAGCCTGCTGTACAAGACTCTGCCCACTGAAACACAGCTTTCTGTTTGATCTGCTGTGCCTGAGTGTTTGCCTCGATGCATGCCTGTACACCACCTGTGTGTAGTGCCCACAGACACCAGGAGAGGGTGCCAGAGCCCCAGAACTGGAGTTATAGATGGCTGAGCTTCCGTGTGGGTGCTGGGAACTAACCTAGGTCCTCTGCATGAGCAGCCGGTGCCTTGACCTCAGAGCTTCTCTCCAGCCTGTTTTTTGTCAACCCCAGGGTCTCTCTATGGAGCAAGGCGGGCCTTAAACTCCTCAGCCTCCCAAGTGCTGGGATGGGAGGCCTGCATGCCACACCAGGGTCTGGCTGAGTGAACTTTACCCCAGATGGCAGGTTCCTCTACGACACTTAGAGCTCGTATTTCTTTCCCTGGGGACAGATGCTGCTCATGGGGGGGGGGGGGGAGCAGAACCTACTTGGCAGCACAGGGCAGTGAGCGGGTGTCCCAATCATCATCGTGACATGTGGAATGGGGCCCTCATGACCAGACCCTTGAACTCGTGCAAGACAGTCCGTGAGATGGTGAAAGGTCAGGCAGTCAGCTGCTCATTACAGACTGCACAGCTCACCTTCCCCCAGCGTAGCGCAGACACCAGCCCCGAGGCAGTTCAGCCAGGGGCATGTGGAAGGCGGTGGCGCCAGGAGAGGGGACTGGGTGGCCAGATGTCACTACAATGAGTCTCTCTCAGAACTGGGATGAAACTCAGAGCCTCTGGTTTTATTACTGGTAGTACAAATGCGAAGCTGGGTGTGGTGATGCATGCTTGTCATCCAGAATTTAGGGAGCTGAGGCAGGGGGGTTGCTGTGAGTTCCAAGTCAGAACACCAAGAGAAGTTACAAGGTGTTTCGGAGGGTCAAGTACTTGCTGTCCAAGGATAAGGACTTGAGTTCTGGTCCCAACAGCCCAAAAGCAGGGTAAGTGTGGTCGCCCAGGGACCCTTGGGGCTTGCTGGCTGCGAGACTAGCCCTGTCTGTGAGCTCAGGGTACATCTGAGAGCCTGACGCAGGAATACGCTGGAGTGCCCGACGTCAGCCTTCACCCCCACACTGGCAGTGCGTGTACACAACACATATGCTTGGGGACAGGTACATGTGCGGACACACACACACACAAACCTAAAGTGCCTGGTGCGATGACTGTCATCTCAGCACTTAGGAGGCACAGACTGTACGATTAGGAGGATTAGGGCCAGCCTTGGCTACATAGCCTGCTGGAAGCCAGCCTGGTCTACTTGAGACCCTGTCACACAGTATCTCTCCTTAAACAGGAAACCGGAAGTTCTAAGTTAGACACAACCTTTAAAGTGTGACTCTTTGCCTGGTGGAGGCAGAGGCAGGCGGATCTCTGAGTTCCAGGCCAGCCTGGTCTACAGAGTGAGTTCCAGGACAGCCAGGGCTACACAGAGAAACCCTGTCTCCAAAAACCAAAAACCAAAATCCAAAGAGAAAAAAGAAGTGTGCTCCTCTCCTCTCCTGGCTCTGCTGCCTCCCATGGCTCCCACCCTCCCTGGTAAAAGTGACTCAGTTCTCCTAACTGTCGTCCTTTCCAAGACACTGCGGTGCCCAGTTGGAGACCCTCTTCTGAGCCATGCCTCCTCGTGTCCAGCTCTGGTGGTGGTGTTGGTTTGGGGACAGGGTCACCCTACATAGTCCAGGCTAGCCTCAAGCTCCCGCTGGTCCTGCCTCCACCTTCCTCGTGTGGAGACTGCAGTGTGTACCCCACATCCGATTTTCACAATGCTGGGGATGGAGCTATGGCTTCACAGATGCCAGACAAGCACTCCAGTAACTGAGCTACAGTACCCACCTCTTGTTTTAGAGCTGGCCTTGAACTTATAGCAATCCTCCTGCCTCATCTCCAAGCACTGGGATGGCAGGCTCCTGTGACTCCCCCTAGCAGCCATCTTGTGTTTCCCCGTCCCCTGCAGTGGGCTGTGACGGAGACGGATGGACCCCCTCTTTCTGCGCTAGCTCCTAGTACCGGACAGTAAACACTGGTTCACCTTCCACGGAGACACCTTCTCCAGGAAGCCCTCCCTGGCCTTCCCTGGGGCCTCACCTCCTCAGGTCATCATGGAAAGGCAGGAACAGCCACTTTTCAGGCATGTCCCTGAGGAACAGGTCTTGTTGCTCCTCCGTGGGGTCCTGGGACACGTAGATCAGGGCCAGTTGTGCTGCCCGCAGCACGTAGAACTCATCAGTGAGTCGAACGAAGAAGTCTTTGAGGACCGGGGCAAAGGCCTGGCACTGGGGACAGGCCCCGGCGCCGAAGAACAACAGCACAAGGCGATTCTCCAGCCGGCGGCTCAACTCGGCCTCGGTCTCCACCTCATCCTGGTCACTGTTGTTCCTGATCAAGATGCGGCCAGAGAAGAGGGATGCCATGGCAGTAGTGTGTGAGGGGCTGGGGGCCCAGGAGAGGGATCTGCTGTGGCCCGGAGCCTGCTTACTGGGTTCCCCTAGCCCCAGGAATAGATAGGGACCTCAGAAGCCAGATTAGCCGCTAATCCTCCTGTAGGTTGACCTCTACAGGACCAGCATTGGTTTGAGGTGACAGGGAGGTCTCATGGACCTTCCACAGAGCCAAGCTGCTTGTGAGGTGTTAACAAAACAGAAAGCCTGTGAGCACTGAGGCAGGGGGATCACGCAAGTTCCACAACACCCTGGGATATACGACAAAAAATGAGAGGGGTTATGGTGTGGCCAGGAGTGGAGCCCCTGCCTAGAATCCCCCAGTGGGGGCTGGGAGCGTGGCTCAGGGGTGGAGCCCCCACCTAGAATCCCCCAGTGAGGGGCTGGGGGCGTGGTCAGGGTGGAGCCCCGCCTAGAATCCCCCAGTGAGGGGCTGGGGGCGTGGTCAGGGGCTGGCTTCCATCTCCTGCAGCACAGTAAAGCAATAAACTCCGGTAATGAAGGGATATGCTTATTCATTTCTAGGCAAGAATTTTGGTAAAAACCAAAATAAATGCTGTAGGCTCCTCCCTTTTCTGTCCCCTCTCATCACCCAGAGTACATCTGGAAACTCAGTTTTCCAGCACCCCCTTAACCATCAAAATCCAGATAAACTTTTCCAAGGTGAGTGTGTCACCCAGGCAGCTGCAGTCTTGCTCTGGGCTCGGACATGCTCCTGCACAACTCAAAGAACCCTTTGTTGCTGTTGTTTTTAAGAAAGGGTCTCTTGTAGCCCAGGCTGTCCTCAGAATTAATATGTAGCCAAGGTTGACCCTGACCCTCCTGCTGCCCCAGGTTGTGAATCCTGGGTGTCTTCAAAGACAAATAAGGACAGAGAAGATGCAGATGGTTGGACAAAACTGCTGCAGGGAGGGAGAACGCAGGAGCCATTCCCAAGGCAAAGTCCTAAGGACCCGGGGGGACTTACTCAGGAGCCCACTCTGAGCATGTTTAGTTGTTTTTTAAGCATTTATTACGGTAGCAGGTCCCACATGCCACAGTGCACTTCTGGAGGAGAGAGGACAACGTGCAACAGGCGGTCTCTACTTCCACCACGTCCTGGGGATCAAACTCAGGTCGTCAGGCTTGGTGGCAAGCGCCTTTACCTGCTGAGTCCTCTCTTCAGCCCTGCACATGTTCAGTTGAAGATGATAGTTTAAAAAGAAAAGATAGAGCCGGGCGGTGGTGGCGCTCGCCTTTAATCCCAGCACTCGGGAGGACAAGGCAGGCGGATCTCTGAGTTCAAGGCCAGCCTGGGCTACAGAGTGAGATCCAGGACAGCCAGGGCTACACAGAGAAACCCTGTCTCAAAAAAAAAAAAAAAAAAAAAAAAAAAAAAAAGGAAAGAAAAAGAAAGAAAGGATAGAAATGTTTGGGGCGGGGTGGGCCTAGCTGGAAGTCAAAGATTAAAGCGGAAAGACAGGAAGCTCCTGGGCATGCTCAGCTTGCCTCTTCAATTTCGAGCAAATACCATCAGAAAGGACACTAAGAAGATGCGTCAGCTCCAGCCATTACCAACACTGCTGGCTTTACAGGTGTCACATCACTGTCCTTCCTTCTCCGGGTGTGTCCAGGTATTCTCCAGCTCCTAAGTAGCCAAGGGTCGCCTTGGACTTCCTGAGCACTCGCCCACCTTGTTTACAGGGTAAGGGAACTGGGCATGGAAGCCAGGGCTTTCTGCGTGCTAAGCAAGCAGGCTACCAGATGAGCTCCTTCTTCCACATGTTCAGCTCTTCCAAACGGGGACTTTCTCAGCCTCACAAGTCTCCTTCCTCACTCTCCCTAACACCGGGATTAAGGGCAGACCACCAGCCTGTATTTATTTTATTTATTTATTTTTTCTTGTTTATTTATTTTATTTAGTGTTTTGGGAGTTTCTTCCACGATGTGGGTCCCAAGGATCAAACGGAAGTCCTCGCTAGCCTGCTATCAACCTTTCAGATTTTAGGACTGAAGACTGGGGAGCAGGTGCGGAGAATCCCATCATGAGTGGTCAAGAGCCGGTGCTTACCCTCAGCGCTCCGTACACTAGGGGGGGGGGGGGGAGGGAAGGGAGGAGGGAGGCACCGGCTGGCCAGAGGAGGAAGTGGGGCAAAGGGCGCAGGAGATGTTCCAGGAATATGGAAACAGGCGGAGGCCACGAGAAGGGAGAGCAGGCGGCAGCGCTGAACCCCAGACTTACGCTGGGGGGCCTGTTGCAGCACTCAGTGTCCTTACCTGTAAAATGGGGTGATCTCAAAAGGGGAGAGAGACGGCAGCTCTAGAGACTTGTCCAAGTTAACCCCTGGCTGTCTGGTCCAGCGTTCGGGATCTTCAGCAGCCCCCCATCCCACCCACCCACCTCCCTGAGACCAATGGCAGCTGCGGGCGGAGGTGGGGCCGCGCCTGCCCAGCCTTGGCCTTCCAGTGGCTCTGGAAGCCGGCCCCGGCTGGCGTCCTCCCAAGGAGAACTGTGGGAAGGTCGGCCAAGCAGGGCAGAAAACAAGCAAGCCCGCAGGGTGGGCAGGGGGCGTGGGAGGGTGGCCGGGAGGGAGGGGCAGGGCAGAGGCACGCAGGGCCGCTGTGCAGTGAGAAGCGCCCAGGACTCTGCCAAGGGCGCATCCTGGGAGTGACCCGCCAAGGGCTGGACTCAGAAGCTCCCTGTCCAGGCCTCCTGCGGTAGCTTCAGTGAGAACCTGCGAGGGAGCAGCGAGGCCTGGGGGTCTGCAAGCCTGAGCAGGTCAGCCTGGCGGCAGGGTGGGGGCGCCCCAGCAGGAGGCTAGGGATAGGGGCGCCTCTGGACGGCTCGAGGGGGCTCCTGGCCCTGGGGAGGTATAAGAGATCGTGGGGTGCAACAGGGTTTCATGGGGGATCCTGAGGTACAAGAAGGGCTCGTGTCAAGGAAGGACGGGGACCTGATGTGTGCTTGACACTTGCCTGGGATCCTGGGATGTGGCTTGATACGGTTTTGGAGCGGTAGAATTGAGGTGTGAGGGCTCCTGATCTCCAAGACTGAGGCCTCCGCAGCCCCCTGGGTGTGAATTTCGACTCCCTGGGAGCCTGGAATGCGGAGAAGCCTGGAGGCTTGGATCTAGGACAAGCTGGATCAAGAAGGCTCCGGCACAGGCGGGCCCTGGGCGGGAGCTGGGCGCCGCGGGCCCTGGGGATGCGGAGCTTGGATACCTTTTTGGTTTACGCGCGCCAGAGACACGCCCCCTGGAGCCGTGGCCCCCGCCCTCAGCACCTGCGTGTTTTTATCGCACGCTGGGACGAGGCGCTGCCCCCCCCACTCCTCCCCCTGCCCCCCCCCCCCCGTACTTGGTTGCCGTGGAGACTGGTAGGTAGCCTGGACAGGCCGCTCTAGCTTGCGAGTCTCGTTGGCCACAGGCTCTCTGGCCCGCGCCTCCTCTCTATGGTCTAGGCCTCCGGAAGGGGGTCGGCCTGTGCAGAGCAGGGTGAGGGGCTGGGAGCGTTAGGCGGCAGGGAAGAGGGGCTCGGGGCGGAGCTAGGCGCTGGGTGGGTCGCCCTGACCCGGTCTTCCGGCGAGCCGTGACGGACAAGGCCTGGAGGCGGCGCGGGAGGCCCAGGGAGAATCTGGGTCCCGAATGTCAGTAGGCTAGGGGCTGTGGGCGGGCCCGCGCCTGTGGGCGGGGCCGCAGGCCTCACCTGGGGCGGGGCCTGGGTCAGAGTGGGCGCGTGCGTGCTTGGGCGGGGTCACGGGACTCTGCTGAGGGCGGGGCCTGGCTGAGGGCGGGGGCGCCTGTAGGCGGGACCGTGGGCCTCCCCTGCAGAAGGACTTGGGGAAGAGTGCGCGCGTGTGCGCAGGGGGCGGAGCCAGGCCTCGTCTGGAGGAGGAGCCTCGGTCAGGTTGCCGGGCTTTGATTTGAGGCTCGCCCTTGTGGGCGGAAATAGCGGCCTCCGCTGGGGGCGTTAGTTAGGTTACCTAGGCGGCCGCTGAAGGAACACGCGGGCTCTGAGGCAGGATAAGCTCAAGCATGTGAATTTTGGGACACAGGAGAGGGATGGGGCGACACGGGGGCGTGGCCTGGACCACTGACTGCAAAGGGTCCAGGTGTGTGCGGGGTACGAAGGAGACCCAGGTTTGGGGGCTGAGGCTTAAGGGTGGAGCTTGGCGGGGGCGGGTCCAGACACATGGTCAAGGCGTGGGGCGGGGTCTGTCGTGGAGGTAGAAATTCTGGGGTTGGGGCGGGCCGGAGGGCAATGATTGACAGTGATGTGGCCAATCCCAGACCTTGAGGCGGGGCGGGTTGCGTCAACGGGCTGGGTTTAGGCCGCCCTGGAGCCTGGGGCAGTGGGGGCGGGGCCGCGCTGGGGGCGGGGCCGCACTGGGGGCGGGGCCGCACCGGGGTCGCGCTGGGGGCGGGGCCGCACAGGGCCGCGCTGGGGGCGGGGCCAGGTTCCTAGCGAACGCGTTTGGGTTCAGGCAACAGCCTGAGACCCCGTGTGGCCAGGGTCTGCGATGCGGCCTGGGCGGGGCCGGGACTAGGCTGGGGCGGGGTCCGCGGCCTCAGCTGTCTGCTCCGCAGGATGCGGGCTCCCGGAGCGGGAACGGCCTCGGTGGCCTCGCTGGCGCTGCTCTGGCTGCTGGGGCTCCCGTGGACCTGGAGCGCGGCAGCGGCGTTCGGTGTGTACGTGGGCGGCGGCGGCTGGCGCTTCCTGCGTATCGTCTGCAAGACGGCGAGGCGGGACCTCTTGTAAGTAGGTGGGGTTGAAAGTCATGGATGCATGGCCCTCGGGCGAGCCGATGTCTTGCGGGGTGGAGTGAGGGTCCCCCTATGGCCTGGGGTTGCTTTATAGACTGGGGCGGGGCCTGGGGGTGGAGTGACAGATTGCCCGGCTCTGCCGGGTCCAGCAGGAGACAGAGCCGAATTGAGCAGAGTACATGATTAGGACTTGGCGGGCTGTTAGGGTGTTAGGTGGCCACTGCGTAATTGGTAGATGTTGAGAGAGCTGGGGGTTCCGGGGGCGCGGTGGAGACTGTGAGAGGCCTCTAGGGGTGACCCACTGTCCAGATTCTTGGAATGAACAGGTTTGGGGTAAAGGAACGTCTTGGGGAGTCCAAAGGACTCAGGGGTCTCTAAAGAGTGTTGGCCCCTGTGTGGAACTTGGGGCTGTTGTTCTAGGTCTGGGACTGTCACTGATGTACCAGGGGGTCTCTGGAGGTGAGGTTTCTGGGGAGTCACGGTGTGCAGGGAACCTGGAGGCTTCTGGGATGTCTCTCAGGGTTTTGTTGAGGGCAGCTGGGGTTTGTTCAGGGGTAACCTCAGTGTTGCTGCAATTCCAAGTCTCAGGTCAACCCTTGGGGAGCCGTCTGAATACCTTCATGGGCCTCCTTCAGGGGGGCAGACTGAGTATTTATTGTAAGTGTGAGAAAGCAGGTTTATGGTGGATGGTGTGGAATGGGGGCCCTCACAAGCTGACTGGCTCTGAGCCTTCTCTTCACACAGTGGTTCTTGCCTGGTCTCTGCCTCCTGGACTCTGTTTCTGTCTTTCTTCTCTCAAAGTAGTGAAGAACTGCAGTTGAAGCAAGTAGTGTGGGGTCAGAGAAGACACTGTGAAGGCGGCAGTGGGCACATGAGTGAGGGCACTCGGGGCTTTGGTTTTGGAGATGGGCTCTCCTGTAACCCAGGCTGGCCTTGAACTCCTGATCCTCTGCCTTTATCTCCCCAGTGCTGGGGTGACAGGCTTGTGCCACCACATCTGGTTGCTGCTGTGTATGCTGAGCAAGTGCTGCCCACTTAGCCCAGGCCACAGTCATTGTTTTACTTTTTGAGACGAGTTCTTATGGAATCCAGCTTCCCACATTTCTTCTTTCTTCTCCCTTTTCTCTTTCTCCCTCCACCCACCCTCTGTCTGTCATTCTTGCCCAGACTGCCCTGGGACTCAAGATGCTTCTGCCTTAGCCTTTGGAGTGGTAGGGTGACAGGCAGGTGGTTATCTCAGAACTGAGTGAGTGGTGCTCAGAAGCATGTCAGAAGACCCGAGTCTGGCTTGCTGCCTGTCCCTTCAATTCTGGCCATCGCTGCTGTCCTCTGCAGCTCCTGCTCCCACATACGCGCGTATATGCAAGCAGGTCCTCAAGCGCACACACAGACATAACGCCAGTATTTCATTTTTAATGATCAGAGTGTGGGTGTGCAGTGCACCCATGTCACACAGGCAGTCACGGGCAGGTGCAGGCAGTGTGACTCCAAACCTGGTTGGCCACCAAGAGTGGCCTGTGCTTTTAGAATGATCTGTTCTTTTTTGTTATTGTTTGTGGTTCTCTTTAAGATTTTATTTATTTTATGTGTATTGGTGTTTTATCTGTATGTGTGTCTGTGTGAGGGTATTGGATCCTCTAGAACTGGAGTTATAGGCAGTTGTGAGCTGCCATGTGGGTGCTGGGAGTTGAACCCGGGTCCTCTGGAAGAGCAGCCAGTGCTCCCAATCGCTGAGCCATCTCTCCAGCCCTCTTTGTCTTTGTTTTGATGTTTTTGAAACTGAGACTTACTGAGACCCAGGTTGGCCTTAAACTCCCCATCCCCTGGCCTCGGCCTTCCGGTGCTGGACATCGCAGCCCAGCTGTGCCCAGTTCACCTGCAGCCCAGGAGCACCTGCCAAACCCTGCCAGGGTCTCCCAAGGGGCCTGCTTTTCTGCTGGCTGAGTCCTGGGGCTCCGGATAAAAGAAGCTGAGGCCGGGAGA